GTCTTTATTTTACAGTTAAAATATTTGTTTATTAAATAAAGTCTAATGTTACAACTAATGGGGGATCCCTTTAAAGAGTTCCGCTTTGATGTCACTTCCTCTTTCACTTTTCAAAAGGAAATATGCCAATTATGTGACAGAATTGGTAAAATTATGTGTATTATGTTGTTTCTTAAAAATAAAAATATTTCTTTTTATTTTAGTGTTTTCAAGATTTGCACTTTAAACACAAATTTTAGCGTACCCCCGCACTGTGAGGGCTGGATAAGGGCACCGGTGACCCTGAAAGGTAGAATCGGGTATAGATAATAGATGGATGGACTTCTTATCCAACCCAACCACCAACGGGCTGATAGCGCCCTCTTGTGGGTSTAATTTTGCCTGTGAGTCACTATTTTCTGACCAATGACTTAGACAACAGGAAGTGTTTATAGTTTTGTCGGTTTCACCTGACAAATGTTGGGTAGAGCTCCGTGTTTACAAACACCACCATCTCAAAGGTCATGGTGATGCCGAGCCGGCCGATGCAGGCCACCACCGTCTTCCACCAGAACATGGCTGCAGGGATGGAGGAAACACCAAACTTTACAAAAGAAGGAACCGGTAACCAAACTCGTCTGTCTTTATCGTGCACCAGTACGACTCACTCTCAGGAATGAAGGCGGTGACGAAGCAGGAGACTCCAGCCACGACGTTGGCAGTGGCAAACGGGAGGCGTCGGCCTACGCGCTCGATGGTGAAGAGGATGAGGAAGGCAGCAGGAAACTCCACCAGACCGGAGATGAGGAAGTCCACATAGATGTTTCCTCCCAGAATCCCGAGCCGCATGATGAGACCCTGGTAGACCACGGCGCTGGTGAACCTGGACCCGTGTCGACCAAGGAGTAAACAGAGATTTAACAATAAAGGCTAAATAAAACCAAATGTGTTTTCAGAGAAACCCACCAGTTGTAGCTGAGAATAAACGTGTGTTTTCTCATTTTGGGAGTTCTGATCAGGTCCATGAAGGAGGCGGTGCTGGACTCGGCGTTGTCGTCCGACAAACTCTGCAAATGCAAACAGAAAATGACAGCTATTAAACACGTTTCTCTGACTTTTTACGTCCGTCTGTTTTCTGCCGCTTATTCCGGGGTCGTGTCGCGGGGGCAGCAGCCTAACTTTTTACGTCGTTGGGTAAATTTCCAGCATCTACCTCGATCTTCTTGGACAGAGTCATCTTGTTTTCTTTTGCCATGTCTTTGGTGATTTTTACAGCTTTGGACTTTTGGTTCTGAGAGAGAAGCCATCGTGGAGACTCTGGGATGAACCTTGGATCAGAAAGAAAACAAAACAAAACAGTAAGTATGGAAGGAATCTGTTGACTAAAACCATTGGAAACAGCTGTTTGTTGACATTAAAGGAGACGTGATGCTTTTAAATCCCTCTTTTTCACATTTAAATCATTTAGTTGGGGTCTWTATAAAGTGGAACTGCAATGCTTTCCTCCTTATTGTAACTTCACAAGCCCCGCCCCTTTTCTGGGGTGTGTCTCAGATCAACCTGTTTCGATGCTGTCTCCTTACATGTTGGAGCCTGAGTCAGACACAGAACCAGAGGACAACGAAGACCACCAAACTGTAGTTGGTAGGTCCAGACCTTATTTAGAAGTTCAGTTGTAAATAATTCGATGTAATAGTCAGAAATTGTCACAGAACAGAGACAATTGAACAGGCTGAAAAATATGAGCTAAACAGAATATAAAGATATGGATAATGTGATTTTTTAAATCCTAAACAGTGGTGGGCACTAGGGCTGTGTATTGGCAAGAATTTGGCGATACGATACATATCATGACAGATGGGTCACGATACGATATATCCCGATACATTGTGATACTATAAGCAAGGCGATATATCGCGATATATTGCAATTTTTTTGTCCAAAAATTCTATTAAATAAAAACCTCTTACAGGGGAAAAAATGAAAAACCAAAATTCATTGTCTCAGAA